GTTGCCCCTGCTTTTCCTCCGGCTCCCCACATATCTGAAAAAGGGCTTTTTATTGTCCTTGATGCTCAAAGCTAGTTGGAGTTCAGTTGCAGCCTTGGCTTTCCTGGTCTGCTCCCTACAGGACCGGACCAGTGCAGAATAATCCTCCTTGGAGGTGACTCCCATCCTCCATCCTTTGTAGGCCTTTCTTTTTAGCCTCAGGAGGTTTGCTAGGTCCCTAGAGAGCCCGGGGGCTGCTGTGCCCTCTTGCTGCCTTTCCTCCATGGTCCTGGAGCATGCGACAACCATGGTCCTGGAGCATGCGACAACCATGGTCCTGGAGCATGCGACAACCATGGTCCTGGAGCATGCGACAACCATGGTCCTGGAGCATGCGACAACCATGGTCCTGGAGCATGCGACAACCATGGTCCTGGAGCATGCGACAACCATGGTCCTGGAGCATGCGACAACCATGGTCCTGGAGCATGCGACAACCATGGTCCTGGAGCATGCGACAACCATGGTCCTGGAGCATGCGACAACCATGGTCCTGGAGCATGCGACAACCATGGTCCTGGAGCATGCGACAACCATGGTCCTGGAGCATGCGACAACCATGGTCCTGGAGCATGCGACAACCATGGTCCTGGAGCATGCGACAACCATGGTCAAGTCACCCATGACAACCATGGTCCTGGAGCATGCGACAACCATGGTCCTGGAGCATGCGACAACCATGGTCCTGGAGCATGCGACAACCATGGTCACATTAATTAATGAACTTATGTCATGTTGGGGGAAAAAATTTCCTGGAATAACTTTAGTCAGAGTTGGCAACTGTAATGTTGGGTGAAAGCAAGCAGAATAGCCACCGGTAACCTTTGCAGCACACATGACCATGGCAGTTCCTACTATTTCCAAAGGGGAACACGAGCTTCTCTCATCACCTTCTAGCTACCCATAGGCACTCAAGAGGTGTTCAAAGGCTCTTACCCACCCTCTCCAAAATGCAGAGCACATCAACCATGGGGGCACAGAAGGGAATTGGTGAGGCTTTACTCACCAAGGCGCCCCCGGGGGTTACAAGAAATAATGGCCACAAGCTAGCAGAGAGCAGATTTAGATTGGACATTAGGAAGAACTTCTTCACAGTTTGAGTGGCCAAGGTCTGGAACGGGCTCCCAAGGGAGGTGGTGCTCTCCCCTACCCTGGGGGTCTTCAAGAGGAGGTTGGATATGCATCTAGCTGGGGTCATCTAGACCCAGCCCTCTTTCCTGCCTAGCCAGGGGGTTGGACTCGATGATCTATTGAGGTCCCTTCCGACCCTAACATCTATGAATCTGTGAACCAGGGACCCCATCTAGTGCTTCCTCATCTCTCTACCAACAAAAGCCATTTCCTTTCTGAGTGCTTTATGGCTTTTTCCTTCCCAAGAAAAATGAGGAGAATAGGGTCATTCAAGCACTCCTTTAGCTCAGTGACTTGAAGAGCTCCTTTTGCCTGTACCACAGGTTCTTGCATTCCCATGAGGTGCTAATCTGGACTATTTTAGTGCATCTCATCCTTCCTGAGTTCGCCGCACAGCCAAAGCTGGCTTCTGAAACCGAAATATTACACTAGCTTAAAAAAAAACCAAGCAACCAACCTCCGCACACAACAATTAATGGCTCAAGTTGCTTCCCAGACTTGCATACTTTGTAAAAACAAAGCAAAATAATACAATTCATACACTACCCAGGAGTATATTTTTGCTAGTGTGCAGAGAAGTCAAGTTGCGTAACTCCTGTCAGCACACGCCAACAGATGTTGCACATTTAAATCCAATCTTTCTGAGCTGAACATGTGATATCAGCATTTCAGAAAGCTCCTCTATGAGGAAGTGAGTTTGGGGGTATGCTCTTCTTCAAACACTTTGCAAACATGAATGAAGCTAAATCTCCCAGTAGAGAAATGAAAGATGAGCACAGGGCCTGGGGGAGGGCCTAGTGAGTCTAAAGCATGGAAGACCTGGATTCATTTTCTAGTTTTGTAGCTGCCAACTTAGTTGATTATGGGAAAGACATTTTTCTTTCCTGTACTTCACTTTCTTCCTATGTAAAATGGAGACAATGACACTGACCCTTTGGTAAAGTGTTTGGATTACTACTTCCTTTTATGTGTCAATGACACTCCACTTGTGAATAGGGATGGGGATGTGGACCAGAACAGCAGTCCATCTGCTGCAGTACCTGGACTCTAACAGTTTCTTTTCCCTTGTCCATGCTCATCTCCAGAATTTTATTTAGCGGCATGCACTGGTTCCTTAGATGCATTTGAGGACCAGTGAGTGCTTGCTGAAGTCCTCTGCTCAGTGTTTCTCCTGGCACCCTAGTTGCTAACCCATAACTAAGGACCTACTCAAATGGCAATTTCACAGATTTTGCAGAAATTAAAAAATCCAGCATTGCTCGTGAAATCGGGCAATGTCTGAAACCAGTAGGGGAAAAATCTTATTGAAAATATAATGCTGGGTCCCACAGGGGAGCCAGCAGTCCTCATGGCCACCGTGGCCTGGTCGCACAGCCAGCTGGGGCAGGAAGCAGGATGTGGGGCTGCTGATACAAAGGGGAGCCCAAGATGGCTGCTGTCTCTATCCCTTGCCATTGATTGCCTCAGAGGTCTTCTTGTCATGCAGCCCCTCCTTTCTCCACCAATTGGCTGACGGCCCTCTCAGCCAATCAGCGGCAAGGGGTCTTTCAGCCAATTAGAGGTATTGGGGGTGGGGTACCACAATTCACCCATGAAAATGGTGGCTGGCCTTACGATCTACCCACAAAATTGGCTGGCTGCCTCCTCAATTTGAGTAGACCCCTACCTATAACCTGCACTCCTCTTCCTTTTTTCTCATAATTTGTATCAGGATAGTAGGTGTTTTACATTTAGCACCCTCCCTCAAGCCTGGGGTAAGGGTTGCAGATCCTGGTGAGTCTGGGCCAGCAATTCTCAACCAGGGTTGTCCTGCACCTTGGGGTGACACAGGATCCTTTGAAAGGTGTTGGGAGGTGCAAGGACATAAGCAAAGACTCATACTTGGTCCCTACCGCCACTGTCCAGCCCATCTGGGAGGAGGTAAGCACAGTAATAAATCCATTTTAGAAATAGGGTGCCACTCAACTTACAAAAGTTTTGAAGGGGGCCCTGAGTCTAACGAGGGGAAGCCTTGAGTCTAACAAGAGAGACCTTGGGTCTCAGAAAGGCTGGCTTTTGTCTAAAAAAGGTTAAGAACCACAGGTCTGGACCCACTGTCAATGTCTATCAAAGAGGCTGCCTTTGACAGTGGCCCATACTGAAGGCTTCAGAGAGGTGCAAGAAACACAGCGACTGACATTTGTGGAATAATCAACATATTCCTAACCGCAGTTTGTTAGCAATTGACTTCTGCCCTAATGCGTGAAAAAAATGTTTATACCCTGTCTAGCATAACAGCTGATGTCTCATTATCCATGTAGGATC